AGAATTGTCACCACAAATTTTTGTTGATCCTATATATGGCAGGCAATTAAACTAAGTGACTAAATTAGCACACCTAATTGTACTTTATGTTGCAAATCCGATAACTTCCAATGACTCGATTTTTAAAAAGTGTCTGAAGTTTGCAACAAAATTGCAGGAGCTGGACAGAGGACAAATGGAGCGAGAATTAATCTTTAAAGCATATGGAGCCCCTCAAGAGGAATGGAAACTGGAAAGCTGGATGAACAATGATTGCTTTGAAAGAACTGAGTCCAGTTTAGTGGCTGTTTTTATAAATGCTGTTAACATTTGTAAAAATAGTAAGAGTACCTTCTGCTACAATGCAGCTATTAAGAACCAAAAGTGTACAAGGTACAGGGTCAAATGAGGTATGCATACAAAAATACCCAGGGGGTTTAAAATATACTTAAATCAGGTCATGATCTAATGAGATATTAACCATTTTATTAATGTCATCTTGCTCCGTGTTAACAATCTTGCATTTGGAATATTAAACATTTGTCAATGGAATATCTGAAGATGTATAAGACTACACAACTAAAAAGTATTTGCGCTAGTTAAGGGCAAAAATAATGCTCGTCATTAATCCCATGTTGTTCAATCAGATCTTTTAAATATATCCTATATTTTATTTTAACTTTCACTATGTTGTAGATATGCCAATTTTATAAATGAAAATAAAACATGTTAATCTTCACATCTTTAACACGTTATTGTGTAATGTTATAAGATACCACCATATTCAGATAGAATTAGCAATGTTTTACTTTGTATTTATTCTAACGTAGGAGGAAATTATTTCACCTGACTGGTTGCAATAGTAATAATTTTCTTCTGTCCTTTAATAAGAACTGTTTGTTGATTTGATTATCTGGAATAACTGGCAGAAGAGCAGAACAACTATTTTAGATTATTGTTATGTTTCTAAAGCAGTGAAGATTTCAACTTGCCTTAATTAAAGTTTATTTGTACAAGTGAACGAAAGAGAGATAACAACTTGTACAAAATGACAGTCTGAAAAACCTGAATTTCTTGCTCTCAATGCAGTCTATCTCTGAATGACACCTGGAGAACTCTGAAGAGAATTTGTCGATAATAATTGTCTTGCTGTGTTTGGAAAAAAAAACATATTTGAGAAGGGCATGGGGGATACATCATTTTATTGTAATACTTCAAAGAGAATGTTGGTTTCTAAAGATGATCATTGTGATCCTGATGTTCACTGGGGCAGGGAGGAACAGAATAATGCAACGTTGAGCCTACGGAGACGGCCTCTAATTACCCATCTTTCTCCTTATTTATTCTACTGACACCTTTACTAATTCTGAATATTTCGGAAACATTTTCCTCCAACCTTCGCTTTTCCCTGTCTATCTCGTCTCCCCCTCTCATCTTTCCACATAACTGAAATCACCTAATGCCTGATACAATACCAGTAAATCTCCCCCTCACTCCCTCCAAGGCCTTACCTTCCTTCCAAACGTATGAAGACAGAATTGAACACAATGTGGTCGTTGAAGCTTAACCAGTGATTTATAAACGTTTGCTTTAAATTGGTGGACCTTGCTTTTAATGAGTAGTTCTGGGTGATCGATGTCCTATATTAGTTGATTGGTAAAATCCTCACTTTTTGCTACACTTCCCAAGTTTGGTGTCATTAGTATCACTCCTTTGGTACCTACTTATCTCTCCCTCACTTCTAGTAACAAATTATCATCTATGTGTTTGCAAAAGAGTTTAGAGTTTCTTCTCATTTTACTGACTAATTGACTCACACACACATTTCCCTTGTTCCCTTCTCCTTCTTCAGGTCTTCTCTTTACTTTTAGTAGCTGGCTTGGTTTTCTATTGCATTATGAACCTTATAGTTATCACAAACCTGCTTTACATTTTTCATTTTAACCTTAATATCTTTAGTCACATGTTGATACTCACTGTTTCTCCCTCAAGGTAATCTTTTATGTGAGTGATTTCTGCTTTAAATGCCACCCACTTGAGGTCAGGCGACCACAAGCCCAGCATTGGACATTTTAAATTGACCCACAGCCAGTGAAATTGAGCCTGATAGAAAATTGGCTGAACTAAATGAAACAGCAGCCAGCAGCTTTTGGCCACAGAGAGCTGTGGAAACTAAGGTCAAAGAGGTCACAAAGGTTAAGGGGAAAACCAGCCACAACCAGCCCCAGGATTGTTCTGGGATCTTGAATGCCCGAAGATGTGCACTCTGGCATGGCAGCAGTAAGGGGTGTTGGCGCGACCTCATTGGATGCTATGAGCCCAGCTAATAACACCATTGGCCAAAGGCCACAGAATATTCTGGAATAAAAACCGAAAGAACTGCGAATGCTGTAAATCAAGAACTAAAGCAAAGTTTCTGGAAAAGCTCAGCAGGTCTGGCAGCACCTGTGAAGGAAAAAACAGAGTTAATGTTTGAGGTCCGGGTGACCCTTCCTCAGAATATTCTGGAAGGTCTGGGGTAAGGGTGGATGAAAGCAAACACACCTGGAAGCCAGCACCTCAGTAAAGACTCACAGCAAGAACTCGTGGCAGAATAGCATGTAGCAACACAAGAAGACCATGAGAAGATCAGCTGTGACCTGCGAAACCCACCATTGTGTAAGAGAGCAAGTCCTACATGCAGAAGAAGGAGATTCCAATGGCTCAGCTCAAAAACGTGGATTATTGCAGGTCATATTGCAAAGCTGCCCCTAAATGGCACAGGCAAATGAAGTGTTTGAACTTGCCGACAGTTTGCCCAATGTTATTTTTTGGGCAGCATGCTCTTATTCTAGGTCAGAACCGCAGCTGTGCACACATTCCTGAGAGGAATCATGAGCCATGCCCTAAGAGCTGCCACTTATTACACATTAGACAGTCCATAACCTGCCAGTCTGGTTGGCATAAAAGTGGCATAGAAGATTGTCTAGGATGAATGAGACTGCTGCCAGGCTATTGGGTGTTGACTTTCACAAAATGCTGCTTATGGTGGCAAATCAACTGTTGTTGGAAGGAATGAATTTTCACTCCATTGATAAGATGCTAAACTGATTATAGATAGCATACAAAGCCTGTGGGTTCAGTCTATTGTAAACAATGCCCATTTGAAATGAGGCATAGAGCATAAAGTTTATATCCTGATCACTTTGGGTGAAGGGTGCTCCCATTGGTTAGCATCACACAGTTATTGTCTGGCACAACAGGCACTGGGGCGTACTAAAATCTAAAGAGGATTGTCGGAAATGCGCACAAGATTGACTTAAATAAATATTCTGCCTCTTGTCCTGCCAGTGACTTCTCCCCTGAACACCAATACTTCTGGCTGGAAATGTCAGGCAGCCAAATTGGGATCTTAGGGGCAAATATCAGACAGTCTGCAGCTGTGTTGCTGGGCCACTATATCCAAAATTAAAAGAAGGACTTGCATTTATATACAGCACTTTGCATAGCCTCTTGACATTCCAAAGCACTTTATAATCAATGAAGCACTTTGAAGTGTGGAATAAGCAAAACACAGTGGCCAATTTGCCCACAGTAAGCTCCCAAGTTCAGCAATGTAAGAAGGGTCTTACATCCGCTTTAGTAATGTGGATTTTGGGATAAATATTAATCAGGACTGTAGAGATTGTAATGAGGTCAACCAGGTGGAGCTCATAGAATATGAGTTCTCTGATTGGGACCATTAATCTGGTCCCAATCAGGGAGCCCTGGCTGACAGTTATAAACAGGAGTGTCAGACATTCTATTCACCTGGACAGCTGGCTTTGAGGATGCTGGATCAGCGTCAAGTACTCTCTACATGTAAATAAAGGGTGACTTAGTGATGGGATACCAGCCTCTTTGGAGGAAAGATGTTGTGGAAATTGAAAGGGTTCAGAAAGGATTTACAAGGATGTTGCCAGGGTTGGAGGTTTTGAGTTATAGAGAGAAGCTGAATACTATTTCCCCTGGAACGTTAGAGGCTAAAGGGTGATCTTACCGAGGTTTACAAAATCATGAGGGGCATGGATAGGGTGAAGTCAAGATATTTTCCCCAGAGTAGGGGAGTCCAAAATTAGAGGGGTTTAAGGTGAGAGGGGAAAGACTTAAAAGGGACCTAATGGGCAACTTTTTCATGCAGAGGGTGGTGAGTGTAAGGAATGAGCTGCCAGAGGAAGTGGTGGAGGCTAGTACAGTTACAACACTTAACAGACATCTGGATGCGTATATGAATAAGAAGGGCTCAGAGGGATATGGGCCAAATGCTGGAAAATGGGACTAGATTTATTTAGGATATCTGGTCAGCATGGATGAGTTGAGCTGAAGGGTCTGTTTCCATGCTGTACATCCCTAGGACTCAGTGACATTGTAGGATAATTCCCCTGCTCTTCTTTGGAAAAGAATGCCACTGGATATTTTAGGGCCACCTGCAGGAGCAAGCAGAATCTCTCTCAACGTCTAACTCAATGAAACGGCAGCGCATATGACAGTGCAGCACTCCCCCAGCATTTCAGCTACGATCACTGTGTGGAGTGGGACTTCAACTCAGAACTTCATGACTCAGCCGACCCATAAAACGTACTTTGAGTATAATGAAAAGCTCATTTTGTTTTGTTATAATCCACTGCTCCGGAAAATATGATATTCAGTGTGCCGAGGCTGGTCGGCATTTTCCACCAGCCAAGTGTATGTGCTGGGGTCCACGTCCAGCTGCATTTTCCAGCTGATGGCTGCAGCCGCATAGACTGGGCGTGCGCTGATGCAGTGTTTGCGTTGCGGAGAGCAGGGCATTCCCAGTGGGTATATGGATACCGCTCCACCATCAGTTCATCAGCATCACATCTCTCCTGCAGTCATCACCGGGGCGTCTTATCGTTTTCTAAAAAAAAGTGTAAACAACTTTATTTTTTAATACCTTTTGTTTTGGAATTGTTTACCCGGCGATCGTGTTGAAAGGGCCGGGTTGAGTGACTCGGCCATTGTCCGTGTATTTGTGTGTGTGGACGGGAGGCAAATCCATGGGGAACGTACCTTCGACCATCAAAGAATGTCTGAGTACCGGGGTCAACATGGACTGGTTCTCCATTGGTGACACTGCTTTCCCATTAGGGCAACAGGTATGATGCTCCAGGCCACTATTAGCTAATCTCTAGCTTATGTTAACTCTGGACGCTCTGATATCAACACCTAACCTAATCAGGATAATTGCATATCAAAAATTAATGCAAAACAGAAGACTGAAAAAGACAAATTTGGTCACTGAGCCACGTACATCCCTCACAAAGTGGTGTGTGTATTTTAGGGCCGGTTGGAGGATATGCTGGGGTCTTTATAATTACCATTAGTGAAAAAAAGATATTTGTTGGTGCTTAATCATGATACCATTTACTGAGCAAGTTGGCTCAATCATTTTCATTTGACTAAATAAATAATTTGATTTGCTGAAATGAATTGCAATGGGGGTCCTGGTGTTCAAAAAGTAATGGAGCAGAGTATGGTCAGGAGGCAATCGTTTTTTTTCTGGTTTAACTGCTCACAGCCTACAGTAATGCCAGAATGGTTAACAAACTGATAAACCACAATGTAATTAATTGAGCGTTGTATTGATAGCCATTGGGAAAGTATAATTGTAAGAAACTACTTGAAATATCAGTGCTATTTCCCAGAAACAGCAGGAGCTGAGGAGATTTAATGGTTCAGCAAACGTTTTGCTTTGAAACACAACTCAAAGGTTCTCTCAAAGTCACTATTGAATGACCAATGTGTGTTTGCATTGTAAAAGTCTTCTATTGGGATGAGCTCAACAAAATAAAAACAAGTTAAAACAAAAATAAATTTGCATTAATATTTTGTTGTCAATGTTGCCATTTGTTTTCATGTGTTCAGAAGTAATACATGTTAATATTTGTTTATGTTTCTGCTGCCTTCCCAATTTCAGACTGAACATCTTTAATCAGTAACGCAAACTGGTTTGGAACACTAAATACTTGGATGTCATATTTGATATCTGTACAGACGGAAAGGATTCAGTGAAAGTCATGAGCTCCAACTACCATTGCAAGCTTTATCTGACCCACTGGAGGTAGCTAAGCTTGAAAACAGCAGCTTTGACTTAAAGCTGGATGTCTCATTATGAAAATCTGCCCAATCTTCACGTAAAATGGTGTATGTCATTTGAAGCAAAAGTTTATCTTGACTTATAGTCCAATCAATCTGTATGATCTCTTTGTGAGATGAAAGCAAGCATGTCCATCTACTATATAGTTTACAAGATTTGTGGTATTTTCATGAAATATTGTCATGTCTGAAGACTATAAATAAGGTATTACTCTTTTGTTAAAATTGTATGTCATGTAGTTGAGAATAGATGAAATAAAGATTAATATTTGGATGGTGTCTTTCACAATCATTGGATATGACAAAGTGCTTTATAACCAATGACATACTCTTGAAGTAATAGAGTCATAGAGATTTTCAGCATGGAAACAGACCCTTCGATCCAACTTGTCCATGCCACCTAATTTTTCACAATTAATCTAGCCCCATTTGCCTGGATTTGGTCCATTTCTCTCCATACCTGTCCAAATGTTTCTTAAACATAAAATTGTACTTGCTCCACCACTACCTCTGGCAGCCTATTACGGATACTCACCACCGTCTGTGTGAAAAATATGTCCCTCTGAATGAATTTGTATCTCTACTGTCTTGCCTTAAACCTATGCCCTCTAGGTTTAGACTCTCCTACTATGGGGAAAAGCTGTTGGCTATCTACCTTATCTATGCCTGTCGTGGTTTTATAGACCTCTATAAGATCACCCCTTAGTCTCCTACACTTCAAACGAAAGGTCCCAGCCTTTCCTTATGACTCAAACCTTTCAGTCCAGATAGCATCCTATTAATCTTTTTGTAGTCACTATTGCACTATAAGGAGCACAGCAACCAATTTGTTCCAATAAGTTCACACAAATGTGATACAGTTACGATAATCTGTTTTTTTTTGAGATGTTGCCTGAGGAATAAATAACTTGGGATCTTCTACATCCATCTGAGCAGCCAGTTTAACATCTAATCTGAATGAAGGCATCTCTGACAGTGCATCACTCCCTTGGTACTGCACTGGAGCTTTGATTGCTGTGTGCATGTCTTAGTGTGGGACTTAAAACTACAACCTTGTGAATTGAGGCAAGATTACTACCAACTGAGCCATGTTTGACACATTAGAGGAATGTTGGCTTTGAAGTTTCATGACTGCACTGAAATTCAGAAATGGGTGATTTGCTGAATAGAACTTTGACTCTGGCTTAAATCTGAAACTTCTTTTAACCTCTAGAACAATGTTATACCAGGTCTTCCTGAATTTGTAAAGATCGTTGAGGTTGGACCGAGGGATGGTCTCCAGAATGAGAAGGTATGCCTACTTTAAGAAAACAATATATTGAATGCCATACTTTGGAGTACATTGCACTTTGAATGGAATAGGATTATTTAGTGGATCTATAACTAAGGTAAGCAACCTGTATTGTAAATCCTTCTCTAATTTATCTTAAGCATACCTTTGCTTTTATAGTTTGGGTGATACAATTTCAAAACTAGGATTGTCAGATTTTTGTTTTGCAAGAGCATTAAGAATTATGGAAGGAACACAGATGAATTTCTGTTACAAATCAACCATGATTTAATTGACTAGCTGAATGAATTGACAGGCTTGTGGGACTGATTGGCTTACTCCTGTTCTTATATTCAACTAACCTTTCAGCTTTTGTTTAGAAGTTTACAGATAGACCTAGAACTGAGGTACGTTGACTAATTTTCTGCTGAATGTAAACATCTCCGAAAGGGAAAATAATAACTTCAGAACGAATTTTCTGTTTTGCAGTTGGGCTTCAGGTAGTCAGTTAGTTAGACAGACTGCATGATGGAAATTTCATTACGCCATGTATCCCATATGATATCCACCTAATATCAAAGAGGAGGAGTGTTTTCATGCAGCGTTCTGATGCATTTTATTGTGTGATGATGTACCAAGACTGATCCTTGCTTTGTCTGACAGGGGATGATCTCAGATGTCACAGTGCTAAGGGCACATCAGGTCCACATGATTAAGTAGGTGTGAAAACATTGAGATTCAGCTCTGAGTGAAGCAGCTAGTGAAGAGAAGTTCTGTTTTATCGGGAAACCATAAGGAATTCAGGTGTATTTTTCCAATACACAATTGCACTCTGTGCAAGTCCCAAAGTGTTGATTTGATTTAATTTATTATTGTCACATATATCCAGGTATAGTGAAAAGTTTTGTTTTGCATGTAGTACAGTAGGTCATACCATACCAAGTGCATAAGGCTAATAGAACAGAGCGAGGACTACTATGAGAACGTGCACAAAGAGCAAGGTCAAAATTAAATTTGAAATTTGAGAGATCCATTAGGAAGTCTAATAACAGTGGGGAAGAAGCTGTTCTTGAAGCTTTTGTATCTTCTACCTGACGGAAGAGATTGGAAGAGATTATAACTGGGGTGGGAGGGGTCCTTGATGATGTTGGCTGCCTTTCCAAAGAGTGAGAGGTATAGCTGGAGTCAGTGGATGGAAGGTTTGTTTGTGTGATAGTCTGGGCTATGTTCACAACTCTCTGCGGTTTCTTATGGTCCTGGGCAGCAACTAATTGCTGTACCAAGCCATGATGCACCCGGATAGAATGCTTTCTATGGTACATCTATAAAAATTGGTAAGAGTCTCTAAGGTTTTAGAGTAGGTTTGTAGCTCGGGTTGTGGATGTTGTGTCTTTAGAGTCTTTAGGGACATGCCGAATTTCCTTAGTCCCTTGACAAAGTAGAGGCTTTGTTGTGCTTTCTTGACCGAGTGTTAAAACTTTGCATCCTCTTTAACAATGTTTCCATTAGGAAAGCACTCAAGTCTCTCTTTGCTGTCTCTTCTAATGCATTGTCAAGAATCCCCATTTGTTGGATCATCGGTAATAAACATTTTCAGAAGATTGGTCTTTTTTTGTTTAATGTATTTTTCTAATCAACCAGTTCAGAAATGTTATTATTTGAATGAATTGCTTTCAGGTGATTGTACCAACAGAAATAAAAATCAAGTTGATCGACCTTCTATCAGAAACAGGATTATCTGTCATTGAAACCACCAGTTTTGTACCTCCAAAATGGATGCCCCAGGTATGTCGAAACATTTAATTAGAATGTGTAATAATTGGTAAGTTGTTTACAAGATGGTTGGGTTTATTCGGTTGGGAGAGGAATCAAGAATGATAAATGACTTTGTCACATTGAAGTTGAGATTGACAGAGTCCAAACATGGACTATTTCACAAGAAATACAACATGCATAAGAAAATATTGAAATCTATGAATATATGAAAATTGAGTGGAGATTACACATAGCGTGACTTCAGGAGATACTTTTGACTTTGTATGAGTAGGAAATCACAAACTGGTAGCCCTTTGGGAATATTAATCATGAGAACTATCAATGGTCCTGCTGACTTGTCATTACATTTTTGTGTATTAAAATCAAAATTACCCTCTTAGTATGTGACACTACAGGAGCTTGATGAATAATGATACATAAATTAGCTTGGAAGCATTACATTCAGGAGCAGGAGTAGGCCATTCAGTCTTCTGAGACTGTTCCACAGATTAGTAAGATTATGGCTGATCTGGTCATCTTAATTTCACTATCCTGTATGCTCTCCTCATAATCCTTAACTTCCTTGTCCACCAAAAATCTTATCTAACTCAGCCTTGAATAAATTCATGATCCAGCGTCTACTGTTTCTGGGGAAAAGAACCCTTGAGAAGAACAAAATTCTCGTCCATCTTAAACTGTGTCTCCTAGTTCCAGTCCACAAGGTGAAACATCCTCCTGGTATCTACCCTATCAAATCCCATCAGGATCTTACATGCTTCAATAAGTTTATCTCTCGTTCCTATAAGCTCTATGGGTAAAAACCCAAACTCTTCAGTGTTTCTTCATTAGAAAAGTTCACCAGCTGAGGAATGAGGTAGGTGAACCTTCTTGAACTGTTTCTGAAACAATTACATTCTTGTTCAAAGAAGGAGATCAAAGCTGTGCATACTGCTCCAGATGTAGTCTCACCAAGAACCTGAACAGCTGAAGAAAAATATCCCTATTTTTATATTCTACTCCCCTTGTGATAAACAACAGTTCATTTACCATCCTGTCACTTGTTAACCTGCAAGTTAAATGTTTTTGTGATTCATGTACCAGGATCTTGATTTTCTGTCTATTAAACTTAAGGCATGGGAAAACGAGCGTAGCAGCCTGTGCTTTGCAAACAGCACTTACTGAAAGCTTCTCATCACTCCTCATATTTCTTGTTTAGCCCATTCTCATCAACAATGCATTAACCGATCTATATTGACTGTTTAAAAATAAAAAAAAAGCATCATCGTCTGGCACAAAATGGAAATATTTTCATGTGAAAACATAAACATTGCTTGTGGGGTTTGATCCAAAATGTGTAGCATCTCACTATGTAGCAGTAACATGTCTCGCTGATCCATTTCCTTTTTATTTAATATGTACGTCCTTAAGAATCTTCTGGGAATCCTTAACACTGTTTCCTCAAACTTTTCCGACTGATGCCAAGTGTTAAATTTGGAAAGATGTTGTACTTTCTAGAAATCTCATTTCTTATTGCAAAGATGCGGGCTGGATTCTCCTCTTTGTGGAAAGCAGTGATGAGAGCAGACCCTGCCTACTCTTCCATGTAGACCGTGAAACTGAGCTAGCTGTTTCCCAAAGCCAAATCATTAACTGTGCACAACTGTCTACCCGACCTCTCTCTTCCACATAAATAAAACCCAGCCATTGCCTGCCTTCAAAATGCCGATGGTGCCACAAAATAGCCACCCTGGCACTTCCAAAGAGATGCTTGGGCATGTGAGAAAGTGGAAGCTACCTGGAAGGTCAGGTGAAGGTTCTGAGGCACATGAGGGAAAGTTATTGAAACCTCAGTGGAGAGGGTCTCTGCTGACTCTGAGCTCTGGGCATTCCCATTTCTACAGAAGGTTGAATGTTACCAATGAAGCCATGGTAACTTGGGTCCATAGGAGCTCTGGAGTCCAGTAACACCCCCATCACCAGTGAACCTTCCCAGAATTCCACCTGGTTGATATTTGCATGGAGATGTGATCGTCCAGGAAGGGATGTCAGAAGAAATTCGGGGCTGAATTTTTGCATTTGTCTTTTGGCTAAGTGCAAATCAGGCTGGGTTTGCTGGAGTGATTCTCATTGTTGTATCTTACGAAACCCACCACATTAATTACCCTCATGGTAAGAAAAACACCACATTTCCATCCCATCTTACAAATTCATGGTCATCCCTGGCACCGGCAAAGTCTTTACAAGAACATGAGGCACCTGGACGAAGGTGGTCAGTCTAGACCTTCCCTGCCCCATTCCTGACATTTGCCTAGGATATGGCAGACTCAAAGAAATCCTTGCCCTGATTTGCTGGCATAGTCCTGGCACTCCTGCTGGCTGGAGGGGTGCAGGGGTGGGACTTCTTCTTTCCCAGGGTCAGCAATGAAAACCACGATACCAGACCATGCCAGCCTGGTCTGAGATTGCCACCTCCTCTGAAGCAATCTCAGCCATCTCGAGGAGTGCCCAGCAGTGTTGGAAGAAGGTTCATTTCCTACACCACTCTGCCAGTGCAAGTGCTGCACTCATCTCTTGGATATCTCTTACTCACTCTATCTCTGACACTGTACTCACCTCCCACCAACTGATTTGCTCTACCGCTCTCGCTATTGCGTGCAACATCTTCTCTCATTTACCCTCACCCACTCCAACATTAGCGCACCTTCTGTACTGCCAACTCACTTGCTCAATGACCCTGCACCAACAGTAAATAGCTCTGCCACCACTTTCATCTTCCATAATACCTACCTGTCTCTCCTTCCAGGAACAAAACAGCCCACAATAGGGCAAAAAGAGTCTAGACGGGTAGTGGGCTACTCATCAGTTGATTCTTCGCCGCTTATGAGCAGAGAATCCTGACTTTGGCTGCCTCCGAGAAGGGACTGGACAGGTATTAGCCCCTGCATTTGACTTACTGTGCCGGGATTCGCTGAGCGCAGCATAACCCCCTTGGCTAGACTGAAAACTGCTGATAACTGTGGTAAGCTTCCTGGTTTTCTGTCTGTGCTAAATAGCATGGCCCAACAATAATAAAGTGAGACTGGTATCTCTGGTTGAGGGGGCAAAGGCAAGGCAGGGTTGCTGCATATATGCAGGTAGGCTGAGTGAGTGAATGCAACGACAGTGAGTGAAGAGCCCAGAGCTGCAGTCTGGTCAAGTCTGGGTGAGTGCTGAGTATACACTGTCCTTACTGCAGCATTGCGATGATAGTTGTTGTGTAGCGCAGAAGTGGAGAAGCATCCTGTAAGTGGATCAGAGATGTACCATAACGGTTCATACAGGCTGGCACATATTAGATGCCAATGTATGTGGATGTGGGGTATGTGTGGCCAGTGTCCAAGCCTGAGAAGCTAGTGCTTGGTGTCCAAGCTCTTTTGGCGCAAACAGCAAATTGAACCTGCTCTGATTTCCGTGTTGAGTTTTCGCAAAGGTTAGTTTGTATGGTAAAGTGTGGCGAGTTGGGCTGTTAACAAGTGGTTAACAAGCAATAATAAGAACTGGGAACTTGCTGCTCTCTGCTGAGAGTCTCACTTGCTTGAGCAAAGCAGAGAAGTTGTGGCGAGATGAACTCAATGTTGAGATGACCATCTCACTTTATGATACTGCTCATCTCACCAGAGCCTATGTCGTTCAGAACCTGGTACACTTCAGCCCTGATTGGGACAGTGAGGTAGTGGCATTCCTCATTGTTCTCTTTCTTCATTTTCTCCCTGCCACTATTCCACCTGGTCCAGCCAGAATTAAGCAGGAGAATCCATCTCAACAACTCCATTGAAATGATATGTGAGGATGATGCGTACCAAATGGGGCAATGTTAACTAGTGACAGCATTTCTCAATCTCACTAGAAAATTAAACATAAGAAATAAAAGTAGGAGTAGATCTATTATCCATCATGGTTGATATTGGGCTTGAATTCCACTTTCCTATCCACTCCCCATATTCTTGACTCTGTTCTCCACATTTTCTCTAAGCAGCAATTTACAAAGATTTAGGAAAGCTCTCATGCTTTATATTCTATTCCATTTATCATGAAATCATAAAATGGTTACAGAGTGAGGGTGGCCATTTGGCCCATTGAGTCCATGTCCATTCTCTTGAAAGCAGTTTATCTAGTCTCCGTTCCTTATCCTTTCCTAATTTCCCTAAGCTTTATTCCCAAAGTATTAACCAATTCCCTTTTGTGAACCACAATTGGACCTGCCAGCACCAGATTGCCAGGCACTGCTTTCCGGAATGTAAACACATGTTTACATGCAGCATTTTCCCTAATTTACCCATGTAATTTCCTAATGTTTTGGTTCTTTTTCCAATTGCTTTAAATAGTTGTTCTGTGATTCTTGACCCTTCCACCAATGAGAACAACATCTCCCCACCTCCTCCCGATGGTGAAAACCTCGATCAAATCATTTCTGTGATTTCAACCAACCCAACTTCCCCAGTCTGTCTGCATAACTGAAATTCCTCATCGCTGTAGCCATTCTCAGGAACTATTCTCCAATCCTCTTCTAAGCCCTCACATCCTTCCTAAAGTGTGGTGCCCAGAAATAGACATAATGGACCCAATTATAAACCTTGTGTAAGAGCTAAATGCTTGTTAATAGCAGGGTAATGTTGAGACCTCTGAAATTGTATTAATCTTCTCCTTCCTCTTTCTGCAAACTCTATTCCATAACATCTAGGTTTCGCAGCAATATTTTGTTGTATAACTATCTAAAGCATACACATATTTAATGATAAGCATTTTAGGCAGTCATTTTCCTTAGCCTTTTACTCGTCCTAGCTCAGATATACCTGACTTCCCTCTCTTTACACAATATTTACTTTGTGCCCTATTTATAAATTGCAAATTAAAAGGGGAATTGCATGTGAACTGATCTGGGGTTTTATTTTAGTCTGTGGCTTAATGAGAACCATATTCCTGCTTACAAAAACATTTCACACATTCTGAAAGGATTGGGAATCATCTGTTTTAGTTCACATCACATATAT